TGCCCTGCTCGCTCCTATCCTCCCGCGGCAGTGGCGGCGCACCTTCTGGCGAGTGGCAACTTGAGCTCGCTGAGCGAGGTCCCCGGGAAGTCCCCGGAACAGGCAGACCGTAATCGAAACGACAAGACGGGTAGATCTTGCTAATTCGACAACAAAGCAAGGCACGCTCCCTCCATGGAAGTGGAAGAAGCAGGAGGAGAATTGGAGACCGCCGGCAAGGACGAAGCGGAGGCGGAGTACCATTCGCACGACTTGGAGTGGGAGGAACTCAAGGAGGAGGTGGAATCCGGACCTGCCTTCTCCTACCACCTCTCCCCTTTTCCTGAACCCGCCGCGCCTCGCCGCCGCAGCCCTCGTCGGAGGCCTGGAGAAGCTTCCACCGTCGCCACGCGTCCGGAAAGTTCTTCAAGGTTGCATCTCAGCCCCCTGCGCAAGTTCCCTTTTTATTCCTACATTCCTTGCTTATTCGATCAGTTCAGGATTAGTAGAAACGTAAGCAAAATGTTCCATTAGCCTGGTTTGTGCAAGAATGAGTTGGACCGGAGTTTGACATGTGGTGAACTAACTAAAAGTACCAAAATGTTTGGATAGGAGATGATTGCAAGGAAAAGGTGCAGGCTGCGATGTGTGAGCCGATGGAACTTAACCTCTGCTGGATGGCAGATTTTTATGTTCTTCTGTACCATTCTCACAAAAATTTTCTCAAATCAAATTCAATGCCTGTAACCTTCACATTGAATTGGGTCTTTGTCAGATTGCAAGATCCGATTTTCTGTGCAGCACCCAGATTTTGCAGCATTGCCATGTCACTATAGAAAATTGGGATATAGTGCCTTTCTTGGTCTACTGACATTACCGTGCTATAAAGTGAATAGAATACCACTGTTTGCGCACTATAGGTCGGCAGCCTCAGAAACAGTGTTCCAAGTATACCAGACTTCAGTTATGCATGTGTCTCTGATGGTGCCATGATTTTTATTTTCCAACGTCATCTTTGATTTTTTCCCCCACCTTTGTTCATCAGTAAATTGATTTAGAAAATGGCATTTCTGACTGATTATACTAAGCTAAAATGCATACAAAGTAGTAAAACTAAGAATGAAAACCTGTGCATCATAGGTTGAAGATCACCCTGATATTACTTTTACAGGAAAGGAGGTATTTGCTTAAGGAATTTCCTGAACTTTGTAGCAGCAAAGATCATGCCAAGGTTTTAGAAGTGGGGTGTGGGAATGGAAGCACTGCTGTTTCCATTCTATGGTAATGTCCTCAGAACTACTTTTTGTTATGATAAAAAAAAAAGAACTACTTTTTGTTCAGTCGCCTAATTCATAGAAGACAATGAACAGTTGCTTTCTAATTGTGAACTTAGTTTCAAATTTTGCATATTGATGTAGACTTTAAATACTTCAAATTTTCCTCCCTAGTGTGGTGTGTTGCAGTATTACTGTGGTTCGATCTGACTTCTAAGATCCTGAATATGTAGTATTTTTGCTGTCCTGTTTTTGTCCTCAATATGTGACACTATATGTCATTATAATAATCTTTTATATAAATTATATTACTAGGATCTTCCTAATTGTGACACAGTCATAATGTATGGTTTCTTCAGGTCTAGTGAAAGGATCACTGTCTTTGCTTGTGACTGTAGTAAAGACACTCTTGAGAAGGCAAATGAAATTATATCCAATACAAAAGGGATTGTTATCAAGGATAGGTTCCACCCCTTTTTAATGGATGTTTCTAAAGAAACTTTCCCAGATTGGTTATTCTGCAAAGCCTGTCAAAGTTCGCTGGGAAACGCTGCTGCATTTTTACTTGGTCATTCATTTTGTTTCAAATATTCCTTCATTTGAGTTTTATTTTCACATTACCAAGTTCTGAACTCATTACATTTTTACTTTCAGATCCAAGTCACCATGGAATTAGAAAAGAGCACCCAGTCTTCCTTAGAGAGAACCAATGTTGTGCTGGTGGCATGGATTTTATTACCATGGTAGATTAATTTTATCTGGTGCTAGTTGGTTGGTCATACTCATATCATTTGTTTGCATATAAAAAAATGATCATGGTGTACATGTATATGTATTTTTAAACTTGATTTGCACATGTTATAGTTCTGAATGTACTTTGAAGGGCAGCATTTCCACATCCTCAGTATAGGTACTCGTCTTTTACCAGTTAATAGATGTTATAGTTTTTTTATTTTATTATTGGCAGATATTCACACTGTCAGCCATACCCTTTGACATAATGCCAACTACTATAGAACAATGTGTTTCTGTTCTGAAACCAGGCGGCCTTCTTCTGTTTAGGGATTACAGTACTGGCTCACATACAAACGGTATAATTTCACACTGCGTACAACCAACTGCTTTCTGATAGCCTTTTTTTTTAGGGGCTATTGTGTTCTTGCCCCTATTTTGAACCCCCATTGTGATTTTACTCCCATTTTTTTTCACTTTATGTTTTTACCCCTGCTTTTTTCCAAAACGAAGGTTCAGTTTACCCCTACTCTGTGAACAGCAGATAACGGTGTTAAAAAAGTTGACAAATGATAAGTTTGCTCTTCCGAATATTGCGTTTTTGCCCCTATTTCAAACCCCAATTGTGATTTTACCCCACTTTCTTCCACTTTGTGTTTTTACCCCTATTTTTTCAAAACGAAGGCTATGTTTACCCCAATTCTTAACTCAGTTATCTACATCCGGATTAAAGCAATTAAAAATTAACAAAAGCCCTGTGAAAAGACAAACTTACCCCTTATCTCTCGATCGTCTCTCTCGTGGTCGTCCCTCTCAACGCTAGTAAGCGTGGTAATTTGGTGCTGGCGGGCGGTGGGCGGCGGAGGCGGCGTCGGTCGGTAGCTGGCGGCGGCGGCGTCTTGGCTAGAGTGGAGGAAGAAGGCGCGGGCGCACGCGGGCTTAGCTTAGGCGACGTGGGCTTGACCAGCCCGCGGCTGTCGCTTGGCCTTGGCCGCCGCCGCGTCGCACTGACCATCCGCTAGAGTTGAGAGAGAGAGGTGAGTCTTCGGCTCCATGGTCGGTTGCTTTCACGACGAGCCAGCGCGCCGCGCCGCTGACCAAGCCAAGCTGCGCTGCGCCGCTAAGCAGAGAGCCGTGTGCTGTTGTCTTGCGCGCCACGCCATGCAGAGCGTGTGCTCGGCTGCGAGCCCACGTCGAGCTAAGGCTGCGGCATCGCTTCGCTTCTCGCTTCAGCCGCACGCGCGCCGCTCGCTGTGTGCACGCCGACGGCCCGACGCACGCCTTTCCGCGCCCGCCACAAGACTGCACCGGCCGCCCGCGCTGCAAGAAGCGTTGAGAGGGACAACCCTGAGAGAGACGACCGAGAGATAAGGGGTAAGTTTGTCTTTTCACAGGGCTCTTGTTAATTTTTAATTGCTTTGATCCGGATGTAGATAACTGAGTTAAGAATTGGGGTAAACGGAGCCTTCGTTTTGGAAAAGTAGGGGTAAAAACACAAAGTAGAAGAAAGTGGGGGTAAAATCACAATTGGGGTTTGAAATAGGGGCAAAAACGCAATATTCGGAAGGGCAAACTTGTCATCTGTCAACTTTTTTAACACCGTTAGCTGCTGTTCACGGAGTAGGGGTAAACTGAACCTTCGTTTTGGAAAAGCAGGGGTAAAAACACAAAGTGGAAGAAAATGGGGATAAAATCACAATTGGGGTTCAAAATAGAGGCAAGAACGCAATAGCCCCTTTTTTATATCAGGTCTGTATGACATGACAATGCTTCTGTTTTTACCTCATCAAAGAGTAGGGTTTCAGGAATATATGCGATCAGATGGTACCTTTTCATACATCTTCTCATTGGATACTGTGGGAGAACTCTTTCATGCTGCTGGGCTAGTAGAGGTAACTCTCAATTGCTTGGAATGTTTTCAGTATCTGATTGTACTCTTTGAATTTCCACCACTTGCATCGAGCCCATCTATGTTCCCCTTGATGCAAGAATGCCTGAGCTATGTTAGTTAGTATATAGCACCTAAATCAACTGTTTCTTATTCCCATTCAAAAGAAGATTTGTTTTTAACTTTTATGGATCTAATGCACTGTAGTTTACATAAAAGAGTAGTACATTAATTGAGTTATAATAAGCAGTAACAGTACATTATATATATACTGTTGTTGGAACGGAAGGAGTATTATAGAGTATAGAGTACTCATTACTACAATTGTTTATTTCCTGGAGTTCCCTTGCGTGTCGAATTTGTACATCCTTTTGAATCCAAGTTAACAAATTAGTAAACGCTGATTTACATTTGCTCACTGCTCTGCACTTCTGCAGTTGGAGCTGGAATATTGCTGTGTCAAGTCCGTGAACCCAAAGAACGGGAAGACGATGCAGCGGGTATGGGTGCATGGAAAATTCCAAAAACCACCTAGCTGACACCCATTAGCTGCGGATGTAGCGACATAGGCCAGGTAGCTCTGCTCGGCCACTTTGTTGTTGCAACAAAGCACAGTTTTGTAACCACAAACTTCAATGCCATGGAAATTCTGTTACCCTGCTTCTACACTAGCCATTCTAGTTACCAGGCCAGAGTCTGAGTCCCTTGTGTTGACTGCTTGACCACTCCTGGACTCTATTTCATAGTTGCATGTTAGCGTCTCTCAGGTGGCTAGGGACCTGTTTGGATGACGCAGTTTTCAAAAACTGTTGTATCACATAGCTATGGTTTCATAAGCTAAAAAGACACAAACCTATGGTTTAGAAAAAAGTTTTGACAAAACCATTGTTTGAGCTACAAAATTTGTCGTATCCAAACACCCAGTAGCCTTTGAAAACCTAAGTACGTATTTTGTAAACCACAATATTTCTCCAAAAATTTGTTGTTAAACTTTTGTACTTTGCATCCAATGCTCTTGGGAGTCTGCTGGCATGGGCAGTGTTGCGCTGTCCGCGTGCAAAGCCTCAGACTCAACTCACTAGATTTTCCCTTTTAAGGTTTTGCGTCTATGTAGGCATGCAATTTACTCAATTTTCAAAACATGCTTGAAGATCCAGCGGAACTTTAGCTTCAAGCAGCTCCTCAGTTCCAAACTGAAGTGGGATGGGCATTGCATTGATTTTGCAATTACCTTGAACACAAGCTTGTAACGTCCAGCTCGGGAATGCAGTAGTTAGGTTCAGACGATCAATCACCTTCCACTTCTTGGGCCAAAAATACTGCGGCAGTCAGTCCCATCGAAAGCAGTCATCACAAATGAAGTTAAGATAGCAGGCGGCCAAGAGGTCCAGCTAACATATTACTCCTAGTAGATTCATGCAGTAACACGTCATCGTGTAAAAGTGGATGATTTGTGCTACTCGCACTGATGCCCAAGCAACACTTCCCAAAATGGATCAAGCGCAAGCACCCCCAAACTACAGGCTAACAGGACCGTGGACCGAATATACAGGCCAGACTGGCTAATAATACCAAAAGAGACGCATCAACTAACTCTACCTCTCTAGCTTCCAACTCTACTTGTCTAGTCTCCCAGTCACCTCTTGTGATGGAAACGCACCTTCAGCAAGAACTGCATCTTCACCTGATGACACACAAGGTTTCACAAAAGGTCAGTGCCCATCTCCTATGAACCGCAACACTGCAAGAGCAAAGGCATGGGGTAAAGAACATTTCTGGACCTGGGATGTGTTGTAGACGATGTACTCATTGTACATGAGTTCAGAGCTCCTAATTGATGATGGCACTGGCTTGCCACAGGGAACGACGACATCATCCCTCCACTTCACAAACTCTGACTCCAGTGGCACAGTTTTGCCTAAGCCTTTGGTCGAATGCTTCCCTCTTGGAGGTTTGTCCATGTACTGCAGCAATAAGCACCAATGGCAAACTCACACGAGATCATAAACATGGAAAATAAAACAAAAAATGGTGACACTTGAATTATGAGTAAACCATGAAATCTTCTCTCAACATCATATCAATCAAGTGTACGGAGATAATAGCATCAATGGTGTGCTTACTAGCCCCATTGGATAAACAACCCTAAACTAAAGGCTTCTCACGACGTCATATTGAGTGTAGCATCAATGACTTGCTTACTAGCCCCATAGGATAAAATAACCCTAAACTAAAGGTGCAGAGCATAGTTAAGTGTTGCCTGTCAGAAGACTGCAAGGTGTGACAGATTGCAGGGTAGACCAAAGTGCCCCCTCCTAAATCTTTTTGTTATAACTGTTTATCACTGGTGCAATAGAGCAATATGTGAACAAATAGGGCATTAGAGTATTGAGATATCTATGGTAAATTTATTTTAACAGGATCCTGTAAGAACAAAAAAACAACAACATGGCATGATAGATAAAATGCAAGGATAAAAGCCAATATGAGCAATTAGGTTTGCTTTCACCAAGATATTTGAAGCTTACCGTGGCTTTCTTTAGTTCATTCATGTCTCCTAAAGCAACCTCAGAAAGAAGCATCAAACCTACAGGATTATTCCTATCCACATTACAGTATTGTGCGCTCTTGCTTACTAAATCTGCAAAGTAGAGGCCTTTGCCAAACTGTCAAAGAAATGAGGAGCATCATCACATAATTGTATTCAACCAACATTTTGACTGATGCTACACTCGAAAGTCGAAACATATAGTGAATAACGAGCGAACCATATAGCCTGAAACAGGTGCCTCAGGAGGTGCAATTCTTAGTCCTTGACTAAGAATTCCCACAAAATTCGTCAACCTTGAACCTACAAATCGAGTTTTATAGTGAGACGGTGAGAAGGGAAAAACTTCTTATGCAGAAATATTCAAGACCTTGAATGCTACCAAATGAACTGTACACCTTCAAACTATCTTTTCACCAACAAGTAATGCAATTAGACTTAGACCATTGCAATGATTGTACACTGAAGGCTATAACTAACGTACTTTTCTTTATTGATTGAAGTTATTGCCTTAATGCTTACCGTGCCATAATAGCATCTTGTTATGCAGATTATTTTTGTATCTTGAGTACTTATTAAGTTCTCCATCTCGATCGAGTGAAAAAACTTCCTCCAGTTCCAGCGACCAGTCCTACAAATCCAAAAAGATATTACAAAAGGACCTAAAAACAGGAAAGAAAACAGCTACATATTTCTACATATACAAACAAAAAAACAGGACATACCTTGTGGGTAGGAGCATGTGTGTTGAGGAGATACTGCTCAACTAGCTTGTAATCGTCACTATCGTGAGCCAGTGGGGTGATGTTACAGTGAAGTTTCATATATTTATCATCAAGAGATTCATCGTTGTCACTATCGAAGCCAACTAGCTTTGAAGCAATTTCAATATCCTGCAGAGCTTCAAGCATTTTTGCCTGTACATAAATTACAGGCAGGTTAGGTCTAAGAAAGCTCTTTGATCATATTCAAGGAAAATAATTAAAACCGAAGGGCTGGGGATAGAGAAGCATTAACAGCACAAAATAGACAGAATAATAATCATAAATAGACTAAGGTTGCTGTCATTAACAAAGAAATAACAAATGTCCCTGCTGAGTTGCTGTATTATAATTCTGTACAGCCTTAGCAAGTGCACACCAAGAAAAAGATGAGCAAAATTCAGGATACATTTAGAATTTGCACAAGTAGCTGCAGTATGAACATATGTTTAGTTCACCAGTGGCAACATTTCCACATGAGGTAATGCAGGACCTATTCTGTATTCTTTTGATTCTGTTCAAGCTTTCAGTAGCATGTCTGATAGTGTAGCTAGCATTACATGTCACGAAGGATCAAGAGTTGAAGACATCACAAAGCAATGAGCTACTAATTGCAGGATTATAGACGACTTTTTTCACAGAGGAATTATAGGTAAAATCATCTACTCCATGTGAAGAAGTTAACATGAATTAAGAAATATAAGAGGAGTCATCAGATGCTTCTCCCAATTTACAGGAATACGACTAGGTAATGAGCACATACTTTGATCATCAAATCATCCTCATCCCGTATAATATGAGGATGAATAGAAGGAATAAGAGTGAAAAAGCGATTGCTCGCAGCAACAATTAAGCTTTCTCTAACAGCCAGTGCTTGATCAGCGGTGTCCTTCAATAAATTCTGTATCTCAGTTAATGCTTCAAATCCTGCAAGTAGTGCTGGTGTAACCATCTTCATATAATAATAAATTTGAAAAACTGAAAACAAATAGTTCCACAAGGAACGATATCAGCGCACCTTTCTGAATATTTTCCTTGCTTAGCTTCCCAAGAGGCATTTCTGACATATTAATTTCAAATTCCATCATAGCAGCTCTGGAAAAAAGGTTTACTTCAATCGAAGAAAAGGAGCAAAAAAATGTGGGCAAGCATGGCATTGAAAAAAGAAGCATGTATGCACCTATATGTCTCCACGTTGAAAAGCATCTTCATGAGTTCTAGCAACTGAGGAGCAAGAGAACTTTTCATTTCACTGATATCTTTCCGTTTTGGTGCTTGTTTAACACCATAATCCTGCATTATATGTAACAAGTTAGAATCCAGAAAATTAGGGGGAAAATGTGTCGTTAACCAGATTGTTTTTTTTCCCCAACATACAATATCAAGTGGGTAAAATCTCCCAGGTTGCTTCCGGAAATTGGTTTTACGCTCCCAAGCTTCCCATGGGTTTCCAGTCTTCTCAAGAAATAATCTTTTGAATTCCTTGATTGCATCAGTTTTTGACATCTCCTCCAGCTTTTGCCCTCCAATTTTTTCACTCCCAACCCGTCCCCACTTTCGAAATACATAGCACTCAGACCCATCATCCTCTTCAATGACCTGGAGTATATAGTAGCTTCACAAAAGGAAAAAAGAAAGAACTATTTAGAAAGGGGCCAGGGCAATAACATTAGAGTGGAATAACATAACAAATAAGCTAGCACATAGTAAAACTGAGTCTAAAAGAAATTACAGCATCAAGCTGAGTTCTTTTTCCTTTCACTACTTTATTACACTTTTTAGCATTAATCAATCTCAGACAGGACAAAGAAAAAATGTGCCAATTTCAAACCTTCTGGGTAGCGATCTGACAGGAAGCAAGACAACTTTAACAGATGTTTACTGCCTGCAGACATACTATGTCCATCACCTAAAAGTATTGTGAACAGATAAACATGCATCTATATTGATCAATTGTTGAAGAGATTGGTTACAAAGTATATATAAAAAGGGAGGCTAAGCTAGGGATTAAAGGGGGGGAGAACCAAGGCAGCACGCCAAGGGAGAACCCAGGAGGCATGCTGACCATGTATAGGGAGAAGAGTACATATCTCTAATAAGTATCAATTGGTAGAACTACTACACCATGTTGGGCTTATCACTAGCCAGCGAAACTACGGTTTGTGCAGAGAGAAAGGGGAAGAAAGATGAATGACTCAGTGTATGTCTGTAACATGAAAGTGACACCATGTGGAAAACCAGGTCAGATTATCTTCAGGAGGTAAGGTGTACTGTTGCACAGCAGGTGTACAAACAGACAGTTTAGATGTTCAGGATGAAACTTGGGCTCCAAACATGATTGAGGGGGTCAGGAACTTGCTCGAAACTACAACAAAAAGCCTTTTAGTCCCAAACAAGTTAGGGTAGACCCAACCAATAACTTATTCAAAAGGAAAAACAACAATGATGATTTTTATTTTTGGTAGCAAATAGGGACTCTAAATATCTAATCAAAGTTGGTAAGTTGCACAAAAAATGCAGAATTGTAACTTTGCAAGAAAAAAAACTCTGGTAAAGCCAGTAGTTGGGGGAACTAACTGTTAGAGCCTAAGTGGTGTGTCCCCCATGTTGCACTGCATCTACCATATGCGTGTTCAAGACCCTAAATGCTGAAGAAAGATAGAATGGCCTCCAAGTCCCCAAAAGGTAAATTATACAAAGACTACCAGACTACCAATCCAACATTAATGGCCTCTTGATTAGTAAGGACAAGACAGATGGTTACTTTGCATATACATTCCTGTTCTGCTTATAACACTAAAGGTCAGGAAAATCCAAAAATAAATGACAGATAGGTAGACATATAGGGGCCAAATCCACCAAAATTAACAGGAAGCAGCAACAAGGACATAGATTGGGTTATTGCAATTAGATAGAACTTGGTGTGGGTAAATGATAGAAAGAAACTTGCTGGAAGGTTCATAAAATTGCACACAATACTATGAACTCTTTTAAATTACTCCAACTAAAAAACAAGTTTTGAATATCAGAAGAAATATTGCGAAGAAAATTCCTAACCTGTTCACACCTAGTGCCAGGTCAGACATGTTTAAGGTTGTATTGTAAATGCTTTTCTCATCTTCAAGAATATGAGCGGTATCTTGCAAACCAGAGGACTCATGAACAGCACTTCGGCCCTTAACTTTAACAGTGACAGTACCACCTTTTGACTCTAAGGTGTTCTCTAGTTTATACAAATCAAATGGAAGCATTCTATTCTTTTCAATGCATTCTCCAACGTAGCCCTCCCTTACGATTGGTATCTTCAGCCTCCTGCAAGCAATTGCAGTATATATGTCATGGCATTTGAACTCCAATAATAGCTAACAAAAACAATATATAAACTATATTGAAGATGGATAGTAAAAAAAAAAGAGACCTTGCTTTCCTGACTTCAGCATTCTCATTGTCGAGCTCACCACATGAAATTAAACAATCAATATCTGCAATGCAAGCATTCCCTATAAGCATATAATGAAATATCATCTCTCTAAACACAGTACCATATATTTGTTCCCCTTTACTCTTTCAAAAATTTCAATTACCATCCTAGAAATCACTTCAAATCACAAAAGACCAACCGACAAGTTTATTAGTTAAATTTACCACCTGAGAACTCAAAACCTCAGTGTATTCATCATTTTACAAAAAAAAAAAAAAAAAACGAAAAGTCAAATCTTGGTACAGAATCCCCCCTTTCTTTGGGTGTTTATGCCAATGCATGTCAGTACCTTGGGCGCTCCATGTAGTTGCTGGTGTTGGAGGAAGAGGAGGCTGATTTTTTTTTTCTCAAACGCACAGGAGAGTTGCGCATGATTATATTGAGGGCTGAGGGTTCAAGGATGCCACAAGGTCCCATTAGACCTCTCAATTGTGACTCAGTCTGGCTGCTCAAATGTGGAGACAACTATGCATCGAGAGACCAGAGTCACATTGCTAGAAAGATGTCATCATGGCATAAAACAGTCTAGAAAACAGGATTTGGGTATTCACTTAATATATACTCCCTTCCATTCTAAATTATAGTTCACTTTAGATTTATCCAAAGTCAAACTTTTCTAATTTTGACCAAGTTTATAGAAAAAATGCACCAACATCTACAACGCCAAATTAGTATTGTTACATTTCTCCATGAAACGTCTTGATACTGCATTCATTTGAACTTGTAGATGTTATATATTTCCTAAACATTTGATCAAAGCTAAAGTTTGACTTAGGACAAAGCTCAAGTAAATGTTAGAAATGATTGGATATTCAAGCAAGTCACACCCTGTGTAGAAGCTTGTAAAGCTAAGTTTAAACACGAGTTCTCAATGCTTTTGCATCGTGCGAAGAAGAGTTACTTTCCTAACATCAGTGGCTGGCTAGACAGCTTATTGTAAATTTCGAAAAAAAAATTCCTCCCTGTTTTTTCTTATCTTCTTGGGACAGGTTATTTTTTTACTTGTTTAATATATATCCAGTAGGGGCAAAGCCCCTCCTGCTTCCTCAAAATAAAATGGAACAGAGGGAGTATTATTTTTTAATTTATTAATTCAATTTTAAGTCTAGGCATAAAAACAGGCTGCTAATGAACACAAGAACCAATCTATTTCTATCACAAGTTAAAAGGGGGGGAAAGGAAAAATAATAGAGAAAAGACAAGATGTGCTTCCATACGCTGGCCTGCTAGCCCATCCAGCCAATCTAGAGACCTTAAGATACCCTAAACAATCCTCTCCAGCTCACACATGCAGAACCAACCACCACCATGGCTCTTTCTTCCCCATAGCTGACCTTTCTTCTTCCCCCCACACAGCCTCTTCACTGGCATAGATTGCTGCAGCTGTAGCTAAACAGGCTTGCCAACACAGGATACTTGTCGACGTGGAAAAAGAAAACATTTGGGCACACAAATCCATGTATGCTGCTGTGTTTATAATTGTGGGGTAGTAAATGCAACTAATAAACTTGTAAGATATATTAGAACTTGAAGTGACTCCTTGGGGGGTATTTGCAATCCTTTTTGCTATACTCTAAGAAACAATGACCTGACTAAGTCACCCATATCTGTTTAATAAAGCAATCTCCTAGGCTGCAGCAGCAAATCTAACAAGAAACTCATATGCCTGAGGTACAAGAGAAGTCAGTTCTAGACTGAAAGGGAATAGAAATAAACCTTTGACAACCCTGGCATAAAAGTTGGCACCAGCAAGTTTGAGCTTCTCAATCCATTCATTCTGAAATGGATAAATAAGAGGCAATATCAAAATCATGATGCAATAAATATATGAAAACCTACTATCCTGTACAATGTGACCCTATTCCTAACAATAAACAACCTAAAGAATCATGATTATGGTTTTTATTTAATTATTGTGGCTGGTGCAAACCAAAACTTGCAGCATGGCCATGGTAAGACGGGTGCTGCTTCAATTGATGCAACTCATAGAAAGACAGCTTATTGGCATGGGTTCATTTGGAAAAGACATGTATGTCTTTCTTACATCAGAATCAGAACGATACAGTTAACAAAGCACCAACTTTCTATAGGACAAAAAAAAAGCAAATAAAAAAAACTGAAGGTATTAAGGATAATTGTACCAAAAAATAAAAGTTGATAAAGATTTACTTACTGCCACTTCTTTTGATTGTCCTACAACAGAAAACCTTAATTTATCCAACCCTTTAGAAGACAGCAACGAAGCTCTCTGAGTTGCTTGACTTCCAGATTTCTCAGGTGACATTGGTGGAAGAACCCTCTCTGGTTTCTTAACCTTTTGAGACTTGAACCACTGCAAGGTATACCTATTTGTCAACCATTAACTGCAGCACACAAGCATCAAGGCCAAGCTACCTTTCATTAAGCATACCTTCATGAGGTAATCATTCTTTGTTCCATCTGGAACTTGCCACTTCTTCTTAACGCGGACTGGTTCTGTGGTAGAGTATGTACACTTGGACCACTCTGACACATTACCACTGCATTGGTACTGACCATTATAATAGTACAGGCCACTAGCACAGACTGGGCAAGGACCCAGCGCTCCAAATAGCATTCCATCAGCACTGTCAGAAAACAAAAAGGAAAGTTATCAAAGTTAGTTACATACATATGAAAAAGTTATGAAGAGTAAAGCCACTGAAATCTGTGCATGGAACACAAAAGAGACAGCAATGCCCAGAAACATCTATGTAACCAATTATATCTGCTGCAATCAACTCATGCCACCTCTATCTGCACCAGGCCACACCTGCTCTGGTCCGTCCTTTGTCCACTAGTGTTGCAGTCCACAACAGTTTTCAGAATTGGAGCAAACAACAGGATTGGGACAATTTAGATAGTGGTGGTAGCAGATTGGATGTGGCATGAATACTAAATGCCTTGGAAGGGTCCAACAGGTTGATGGGCATAGAGTTATGTACAATGGCTAAAGTGCTAATCTATCAAATCCGCCAAGTTAGATCCAAGGACCAGTTGGTGCTTGAACATTTCCATTCAGGTGATCCTTTGTTAACAAGTGTTTTCTTCCTTTACAAGTACTATCCGTCATTTATCATTGTAACTACTTACTTCGGGAATACTAAGGTCCACTTATGACAAGGATCCTTTCAGTATTGTTTGTTTTGATGCCAATTGATCTTCAGCTGTCATTGACATAGTCCGAAGACACAAATTCTTAAAGAAAAAGGAAGGGAAAAAAACACAACATCACCAACAAATTCCTTATCAGAAAAGGAGGAAACAGAAAGCAAATTACCAGCGGTCCAATAGGTGCCTCTCTGGTCCAGATGTATCCTGCCCATTAGCCTCAAGCATATCCCTTAATTCAGCAGCCGATACATGGCTCTTAAGTTCATCCTTTAACTTCCAAAGTGTGTCACTTTGCTCTTTAAGCTTTTGTTGGGTATCAGCTGAACTAGTATTGGAACCACATGGGTCCACAAGTTGCCCTTTGTTTCGCACTGTACCTTCAGATGTACTTTCATCTAACCTGGCGGCTTTGCAGCTATCCATATCAATTTCGCCTTTCTTGCGCTTGGAACCCTTAGTTTGTTCTTGATGAGCAAAATAAACAAAGTCAGATTACTAAGTAAAAAAAGGTGTGTGAGGTTATCTGATTTCCATGATTTTCTTACCATTGTTGCCGACATCTTTTTTAACAAGATCAAGCACGGTTCTCTTATCCTCATCTGACAAAGTATCCCAGCCTGAGAACTTCTCAACAGTTGCAGATGGGGATACCTCAAAGAAGCAGTTGGCATGATACCATGGTATACCCTTGGAACCTTGACTCTCAAGCTTAGCTGAAAGACGGACCTAGTCAAACATATAAAACTGTTATTGACAAAAATTGAGTCAAGCCAAAAAGCAATGTTTTACAGCATACTTACTCGGCATTAATGGAATTAAATATTAAATGTGCAATTCTTGTGAGCTGAGAACCAATATTGCACAGAACAAAGTTCGAAAATTATGATACCAACCACTACCAAAAATAAAGTATACATATACGATTGTAAATTCAATGCAATTGCTTTCGACTAAAAATCCAAAAGGTAGCATTCCTGCCTACATGTAAATTATACTTAAGACTGCTCACTAAAGCCTAAAGGGGACAGTTAGTTTATGAACATACTATGAACACAACAAAAGAAACACTTAATAACATCTAGCAATCAAAAAACACTCATGTTTGTCATTCAATAACAATGACGCTTCACAAGAAGTGATGACATATAAATTTATTAATCAAAATATACTTACTGATCCTTTTGCAATCTTTTCACTGCATCGTCTACATGAAGTACGGGCAGATGGAGCAATCTCAATAGTACATTTATCAGGAGCAGCAGCTGTGGAACTTGTAGCAACTGAGGCACTCCCAACATAGTTTCTTATCTTCTCTTGATCATCCCATCTAAGTGCATCTATTCCTTCAACATCATCGACGCTGATTGCAAATTATGAATCAAGTTAAAATGTCAATGATCAATACCCAAAAGATAAAAGGAAACTGAATAAATTAAGAAAGTTAAGCCAAAAATCTACTTGACAGGCAAAAGACACAACTACTTACGATTTTATCTGGTTCTTCTTACTGAAGATGCACCTGGCATGGTTCCACATCTGGAAAGGAGAAAACAGGGAGCATAAGGTTCCTTCAAAGAGAATTGGCAGAAGCATCATACAACTCCACTGTTCCAAAAAAAAAAACATTTCCCGTTGTTCCAGAAAGAGAGAGGACATTGGTTACAAAAGTATCACCAAGACATAGTTGTGCACATCCAATCCTCCTCACAAGTATTACCGAGACATAGTTCCACAAACTATCCTTGTTTAACACATGATGAAATGCAGGTGGCATGTATAACCAGAAAATGTCAAAGCACACAATATCCTTCCCCTAAATGCCATTTATATGGTTTTTTAATAAACGCAAAAATATAGATTTCACAACATAAAAAAATAATCCGAGAAAATGATACTATACCAACCGAATGCACCACGAGCACAGCAGAATAGAAAGAACTACGTTCAATCAAATGCACCAAAATCAAGTGGCATTACCGCCATGCACGTTATAGTCACAGATCAAGATAAATCCCGACCACAACATCAGGCCTGCAGATTTTTCATAGCAAATGCCCCCCAAACCGGCCACCACTAATCCAATATGGCCTGCATTCCAGACGCAACCCACGGAAACCACCGAGAACGGCCTGCATTCCAGACCCAACTCACAGAAATCCCCGAGAACGCGACGACCGACGAGGCACCTAAACCCTAACCTCCGGAACCCATCCAAGATTTAACGAAGATTCGCTAATCTATCAACGGAGATTGACTGCGAAGAGTGCGGGGAGAGCTGGTAGAGAGATACGCACGGGCATGAAGCCGTCGAACTGTGACGCCTGAACCATCTTGCCGAGACGGAGCTGGTCCTTGGCGATGGGGGACTTGCACGACTTGCACGACGCCCGCCCGGACTTGGCGTACTCCGCCTTCCACGCCCTCGGCGGCGCCGCCATTCCGCCGGCCCGCTGCGGTGCGGTTCCCCTCTTCTCTCAGCCCCCCTTCGGTGGAGTCGGAGGCCGGACGAAGACAGAGAGAGTAAGGCTTGTAGGGGACGGAAGCGGAAGGTGTGGGTTCTGACTTCTGAGGTGTCAAACAGGTAAAGCCCTCTTTTCAGTTTTCACGTGTGCCATCGCAAATTCGTTAGTTTTAAAAATATTTCTGTTTCTCGGAATATTTGGGAATATATTTGGATAATCACTTCCTCCGTTCAATTAATCAGTTCTCAGAATGTGTTGGAATATTTGGGGTTTCGACCGTTTCGTTTCAACCTAGGTCATTTTAGTTATCCATAAGTCAGGATTATTTAACGGTAGTCACTTTCAGGTCAAACATAAACATTGGATTAGACAAATGTGGTGAATTTTATACGATCAAATTAACGTGAAAATCATTCTTTAATTTAATGTGTTCTTTCAACCAATCTTGCCATTGCTCGCTACAACATTGTTTTAATGGGAGTGCAAAAATCATCCTATATGCCGTCGTTTGAGTGCTCATATTTTTTTATATTTACCATCACATATGATGTTTGAGTGCTCATATTTTTTTATATTTACTTTATGATTTAACAACTCTGTTTTTTAGTGATAGCCGACGCGTCGGTCGATAGTGGATAGTGGGGTGTTGTGTGTGAGTGTGTTTATAGGGATGAGGATATACATCTATGTCGGTATTGTATTTCGCACAAAAAATATGAGATTCTAGATATTTTGTGTAACGACTAAAGACTAAAGACTTCGGCATATGTCGATTTTGCTCCAATTAGTAAGTGTATCGTTTTTTGCTGAAATTAGTGTTTGCTTTAAAGAAACACCTCAAAATATCATGCAATTAGTCTATAAGCACATGTTTGGTAGGGCTCCTCACAGGCTCCGGCTCCGGCTCATCCGGAGGAGCTCTACCAAACGCTCCATAGGAGGAGCCATTTTTCATCAAAAAACACAGGGGCCGGAGCCGTTTTAGAGAAGCGACAAATTGTAGCTCCTCCAAAATGGCTCTGTCCGAAGGAGCCCCTCAGGAGAAGCCCTGCCAAACACCCTCTAAGTGTTTGTTTTAAACATGGAAAAAAAATAGCGGGCTATAGCGGTGTCATAGCGGCGCTGTAGCATTGGGAGAGAATTGACGCTAAGCTATTCATATTTGTGCCGCTATACCAACTTTGACCACTATAGCGCGCTATAGCGTCGCTAAGATGCATAGCTTTAGTGTTTAAATAGCGGCGCTATTTCAGATCAGTGACAATTTAATTAGTTATTTCCTACTTATTATTTGCTATTAATGTGGTATTTTGGATAATTAAACACTAGAGTTTTATGAACCATGTTGTAAACATTGGTAATGTTAACTAGACTTGTGTGCAACCTTAGAAACATATTTGTGTTCATCGAATGCCATATTTACCAAGTTTTTTGCATCAATTACCGTTGTTTTTCATGTTTTTTATAAAAACGCTATGTGTTGTAGCGCCGCTATATCTTCTTCTGAAAAAAAAAGTTGCTGCTATTTCCAATAGCCCGCTATTTAAAACCTTGATTTTAAGAAACCATATTATGTAGGTACATAAAGACTCAACCATGAAATTTTCTCGTATCATATTCCTTATGTCTATAGTAATTATTAAGGGCTTTACTAAAGAGTCACATGTTCCATATATCTATATAGTAATTATTAAGAAGGGTTTTACTGAAGGGTGATCACGCACCCTCAGTCTCCGCCCGTTCACCTTATTATACTCCCTTCTCTCTGTTATCTTCTTACCCTTCAGGTGAGCTCTTCTCCATTGCTCTTCACTATTCTTTTGTTGTTTCCTGTGTGCGTGCTGTTCTTTAAGAATGTCCTCGGTACATCATGACTCTGAAAGCATCTACAGCCTGTTGTTTGTTTGGCGTGGCTTATCGTAAACGATCGTAAATTTTCAGTCGGAACAGTGTTTTTCTCTCACACAAACCAGCCAACAGTACTTCTTCACGAACCAGCAATAAAACGAACCAGCCAACCGAACAGGCTGCTAGGCCCCTAGTTGGGTTTTGATTGATGACAATATAAGATTACTATGACTAACGTGTGTTTTGCAGAGACAATTAAGTTAGGTCATGGTAATGAAGATCGATTGGGCATTCAAGGTGGTCATGCCCCTACGATGGAAATCGTTTCGGTTTTCAAAGGATGGACGACAAGGTTAAGGATGGACTAGTTCTAAGTATCGTTTGAAGTTGGAGAGATTCTTAGAGTAGTTTAGGACTTTGTTTTTTCTTTGACCATACTATTAAGGGGGGTATGGACGGGTAGCTTGACCTAGGTGAGTCTAGTGAGTTAGGTGTGGTGCACACTTGTTAAATATGCCTAAGATCTATTGGAGCAAACTTCATTCACATATGATCGAGAGTTGGAAATGAATGGAGGGTCAAATACTGACCGGACGTTGGTTCCGGTTTGACCGGACGCTGGCACAGAGTCCGGTCAGTTCATTTGACCAAGGTGAAAACGTTCGGTGTGACCGGACGCTGAGAGGTGAAGTGACCGGACGCTGAGAGCCTGCGTTCGGTCGACTCCAGTAAGGTTCCAGAGAGGGAAAATTGCGACCGGACACGTCCGGTCAGTGTTGATCGGACGTTGCCCAGCGTCCGGTCACACTGTAAACACTAAAGTTCGGGGTGTACTGACCGGAGCGTCCGGTCAACATGATCGGAGCGTCCAGTCACCCCGCAGAGGCACATAACGGTTCGTTTTTCAGCCCATGTTATAAATACTCCCTCCACTTGTGTGTGGGGGTACTTTTGCTCATTCCAACAGCTGAGAAACACCTTAGAGTGTGCCAAGAAGAGCAAGGTACTAGTGAGGTAATTGAGATTTGAGAATCCCAAAGAGAGCCCTCATTAGTGAGATCAGGAGTAGCAAAGTGTGCATCCACCCTTCTCATTAGGCTTGTCGTGGTCAAGTGAGAGTTCGTGCTTGTTACTCTTGGTGATCGCCATCACCTAGACAGCTTGGTGGTGATTGGGAGCTTGGTGATCATCCGGAGAGCTTGTGGATGACCCAACTCGCATTGTGAGCGGTTGTGGGTAATTCACCACGATGGAGTGTCGAAGAATCAACCCGTAGAGAGCACTTGATCCTTGCGCGGATCAAAGGGGAGGTACACCCTTGCGGGTGCTCCAACGAGGACTAGTGGGGAGTGGCGACTCTCCGATACCTCGGCAAAACATCGCCGCGTTCCTCCTTCTCTATTTACTTTGAGCATTTACTTTGAGTATTTACTTTAAGTATTTACTTTGAGCATATACGTTGAGCAATTCAATTCTTGTCTTTACATTCATAGAATTGCCATGTTAGAGTAGGATTGGAACTTAGATTGCAAGCCTTTGTGCGGTAGAACAATTAGAAACACTTTCTAGGCACAATGGGTTAATTGGGCTAACCATAGGATTTAATTATTGCAAAGAAATTTAGAATTAGCCCAATTCACCCCCCTCTTGAGCATCTTGATCCTTTCAATTGGTATCAGAGCCTTATGCTCACGTATTTAGGCTTAACCGCCTAGTGAAAGATGTCTCATGGGGATGAACCTCCTCCTATCTTCGAGGGGGATGATTTTCCATATTGGAAAATCCGCATGGAGGCGTATCTAGAAGCTCTAGATGTTGTAATTCTTAGAGCCGCCTAATAAGGTTTCCCAAAACCTCGGGATGCCGCACACCCACAAGACGATGAGTTGAACTACGAAAAATGGAATGCAAAGGCTAAAAACACCATATTTAGAGGCCTTTGTAAAGATGTGTTCAACCGGGTGAGGAACCACAAAGACGCCCATGCACTTTGGTCGGACGTTTATGCGCTACATGAGGGAACCAAGAGTGAGCGTGAGGAACGCTATTATCTTGTCATGAAAAAACTCAACTCTTTTGAAATGCTTCATAAAGAATGTGCTATTGAGATATATTCACGTTTGAATGTTTTTGTAGAGAAAGTTAATGGGCTTGGACTCACTCAAATGCAACCATCCGATGTTGTGAGAAAGATCTTGAGTGTCCTCCCCATTGACAAGTATGGGCATATTGTGATCGTGCTACATCAAGGTGATCTTTCACTGCTACACCGACACAAATCTTGGGAAAGATCAATGCTCATGAGATGTACATGCACATCACACCTCAAGATGGCTCATCCTCTACAAAGAAGAAAGAAAAAGACTTAGCATTCAAAGCTAGCCAAAAAAAGGGCAAAGCAAGGCTTGAGTATGACAGCTCAAGTGATGATGAAGTTGATGATGAAAGCCTTGCTCTCATGGTGAAGAAAACCACCAAGATGCTAAAGAAGCTAAACAAGAGTGGCATCAAGTTTGATGGCAAGAAGAAGAAGTTCTTCACAAACTCAAGAAGAAAGCCAATCTCCGAGATGGATTGCTATAATTGTGGCGAACTTGGTCATCTAGCTCACCAATGCACAAAGCCCAAGAAAGACAAGTTCAAGAACAAGAACAAGGGCAAGAAAGATGACTCAAGCAATGAAGATGAAGATGAGAAGAAAAAGAACAAGCCATACAAGAAGAGAGATGGCAAGAAGAGGGACTTCCGATGATGATAGTGACGACGAGAAGGTGGCCGCCATTATTATTGATTCCTCATCATCTTCACCGCCACCACCGTCGTCATCCTCTACACACCTATGCCTTATGGCCAAAGGTGAACGAAAGGTATCTCATGATGATGATAGTAGTGGTGATGATCATGCTCATAAGGATGATAGTGATAGTGATAGCGATGATGATGAATATGAATCACCTACTTATGATGATCTTGCTAAGTTGCTAAAGAAATACACTAAGATCATTATAAAGACTAGAGCTAAAAATGAAAAGCTTGAGATTAAGAATGATTCTCTCTTAGCTAAATGTGACATAGCCGAAAAATCTAGTGTTGAGCTTAGAGAAGCAAATGAAGCTATGTCATCCAAA